TTTCAGTGAAGTTTTTAGATTACTCAAATTATAGCAAAGGCATATTAAAGAGAGAGATGTGTTTCTCAGTGATGGAAAGCTGGCGTCTACCCTGACAACCACGTATATCTCAAAAATGAGAAATGTAACGCAGGTTAAAGGCAGTCAGGAGTGGTGAGAAAATACTGTGAGCTGAAGAGTTCAGGACTACCTACAGGGAATCGTTATTTTTTGAACACCTGCTGCCACATGGGGTTTGGAGTCTGTGTTACTAGATCTTCTAGCTTTATAAGCAAAGCTGGAAATCTGGACTTTCAAGTAAAATCTTCTGACTTTTAAGTTGGTTTTAAAAATATTTGGGTCTGGCCACAGTGGCTGACGCCTGTAATCCCAACACTTTGGGAGGCTGAGGCAGGTAGATCATTTAAATCTGGGGGTTTGAGATCAGCCTGGGAAACATGGCGAGATCCTGTCTCTACAAAAATAATCTAGGCATGGTGGCATCCACCTGTAGCCCCAGCTACCCAGGAGGCTGAGATGGGAGCATCACTTGAGCCTGGCAGGTTGAGGCTGCAGTGTGCCATGTTTGAGCCACTGCACTCCAGCCTAGGCACAGAGCAAGACCCTGTCTCAAAAATACACACACACACACACACACACACACACACACACACACACACACTCTCTCTCTCTCTCTCTCCCTCTCTCTCTCTCTCTCTCTCTCTCCACACATACACACATACATTTTGTGGCAAAAGAGAAAGGACAAGACACGTCTATATGTTAAATATGTCCTGCAAGCCGTCACTTTATGACATCTGAGAACAATATTATCATTTGCACCAAAGAGAAGCTAGTAAGGTATACCACAACAGGATTTTTTATTTACTAAGATGTATTCATTTCCTAAGCGTAACATAAAAAATGGCTACAAACTCGGTGCTTTAAAACAATAGAAATTTATTCTCTTATGGTTCTGGGGCCAGAAATCCAAAGTCAATATGTCAGCTGGGGGTGCTGCCGTCTGAAGGCTTTAGGCAGAGAAGCCTTTCCTGTTTCTTCCAGGTTCTGCTGGTTCCGAGCATTCCTTGGCTTGTGGCTGCAATACACCTTCTGTGTTCATCTTCACATCTTCTTGCAGCCTTCTTGTGTGTCTCTCTTCTGTATGCCACTTATAAGGACTCTTGTCATTGGATTTGCAGCCCTCATGAGTAATCCAGGATCATCCCAACTAGAAATCCCTAAATTAATTTTATTTGTGATGTAACATATTATACAATACAAATATATTTTCCAAATGATGTCATATTTATAAGTTCAGGGGGTTAGGACATTGACATTTTTTAAGAGCTAAATTTAAACCACTGCTATAGGTCATATTATAGAAATATAAAAGGGCATGACACAACAATGTAGGGTTTAAAAATAGTTATAACATTACCACCAAGTCAAGAATGCTAGCAGAATGATAGATGCCCCTACACCTTGTTCTTGTCCGTCATATGTCTTTCCTCTCTTGTACCACCAGAAATAATCTATTTTTTTAAGAATATCCTACTTTCACTGCAATATTTTTATTGTTTTTCCTTCGTAGTTGAACCACGTATGACTGCCTCATTAAATGATGTGTCTTAGTTCTGCCCCATTTTGAACTTTATGTGACATAAATGATAATGAATGCATTCTTTTGTTCCTGGTGTGCACATTTGTTATGAGATTCATACACGTTTTTGTGAACAGCATTTTTTTCTGTGTATTTCATAGACATTTGTATTGTTTCAGATTTTAGTTATTGCAGGTGTTACCACACTGTACTTTCTTGAATGTATATTGTGGTGCATGTGTGTAAACTTTCCCTAGTTCATGTACCTAGCAGTAGAATGGCTGGTCTTTAAAGTATGCATATTAACAGTGTTAATAGATAATGCTGACCTATTTCCAAAATTTTATACTAACAGGGAATTCCCTGTTTCTCACCCTAATCAATGCCTCTCCCTTGTATCTTCTCTCTTCTTTCCTCTCCTCTCCCCTTTCCTACATCACCTCTTTTCCCTTTTCTCTTTCTCTTCTCTCTTCTCTCTCTCTCCCTGCTGTCCTTTCCTTTTTTCTTTTTATTAATTGCTTCATTTACTGATTCCATTAGTGTCATATGCCTATGATGTGCTAGGAGCTTTATTTTTCTGAATCATTGGGCCATTCTTCCTAAGAAGGAAGCAGACTCTCTGTTTATAGGCTGGTGAAATGAAGCCTTGGGTGCCCCCTGGCACCTAGACCAACAGGGATGTTCTAGTTTCCAATACATGACTAGTGTTGAGAAGGCAGCCATTAAGAATCCTGGTCATTTTCTGATATTGATGGGCCCCAAGAAGCGCCATCAATATCTGTCAGCTCCCATCACCCTGGCAGAGCAGGCAGCTGTGTCCTCTGACCCCCTGTTGACATTCCGACAGGTTTCCCTTCATACTGCACACTTAAAAGAGCCTTTTCTCTCTCTCACCTGGAAAGGTCACCTCCCAAACATGCCTCCTGGGATGAATTATGTTTCTATTGATTTGTACTCTTTTGTCTCAACCACAAATTTCATGGAGTGTTTGAGGGCAGCAACCCAGTTAAAAGAGGAAAGAACCAGATTGGTATGGCCTTAACACCAGCTAAATTCCATTTCATTTTCTCTTTGTTGTTCTAAGTTTAGTTTCAAGATTACAGGAATATTGCTCAACATGTAACCAATGGGGCATGTGCTTCAGAAGCACCTGGAAGTTAATTTTTGAAATTAAAATTTGTCTAATATAAGGAGCAATTTCATACTAAAAATACCATCTGCCCCATATAAAAGAATGAGCTTCTTCCTTTAACCTGACTCTGATTCTGTTTCCAGTGAACTAAAGCTCTAGTCTTGGTGCCTTGGTTTACATTTAAATACTCTGACAATTTAATAGTAATGGGATATGTGCTCGGATGACTTTTCTTTTTGGCTCTAACAGGAAGTTTGGAAGAAAATCTCAATTCAGTATGACACACACACACACACGCACATATATTAATAGTTAGTCTAATTTCTGCTTCTACCCCTGATTTTCCCTCTGTTCCACCTTAGTAACTGTATATCTTGTATTGGACAGCCTGTTTCTAAAACAAGGTAGGTAGAATCTTTAGGCTGCAGAAACTGTAATGAATGACAAGCCAAGAGTGATGTCTTGGTAACTTCAGCCAAAGGGAAAACTTTAAAGCATTCTGTATCAGAAGCTCTATAGCCATTAATAAAGAAGAGGGATGGTGTGTGCCTAACCCAGAGAGCTGCCAAGTACATTCCAAGGCATTGTAAATACATGGCTACAACAAGATCTCTCTTAAAAACTTAAGTCTCTCATGGATAATTTTATTCTTTGTGAATGAAATTGAACATAGGTAAACTTCAAGACTTAATTTATTTTTTGCCCTAGCTAGAAGAATAAATACTCTTAGATACTAAAAGAATCTGACTCAGCTAAGAAGAGGCACGTCAGCAAGAAGTAACTTAATAGAATAATATCCATTTGACCTCTGCTTCTGCTTCTTTGAATTATTTCAAGAGGAGCTCCATTTTCTGAAATTGGCTTTGGCTCAGGGATGTCTGATTGTGTAGTGGGTTTTACCATTTTGATGGACTTATTCATTTCAAAACCTGAACACATGATGGTTTTGCTCTTCTTACAACTGCTCTTGTAAGAACTGTTGCTGATACAGTAAGTTGGCGACAGGGCATGTAGCAGAGAAAGAGAAGTGGTTTGGTAAGTGGACCAGAGAAGAGCTTTATAACAGTAGTTCTCAGCCTTTGGTAGCTAAGGGAATCTGCTAGGGAATTTGAGAGAAAAAAAAAGTCTCAGATACTGCCTATCTCAATGAGCCTGGACTCTGCATTCTTTATCAGATCTCTAAATGATTGCAATGCCCGCCAAGATGTGAGACTCACTGCCCTATAGCATGGGTGTCAGAAACCAGGTTCTGGAATTAGACAGATGTGGGTTGAAATTCTTCTCTAAGCCTTCATTTCTAACTTTAGAGTGTGAACCTGAGACAACCTACTTTCTATGTTTGATGTGATGTTTCATGAGAAAATGTACATAAAATATTTCTTATTTTTGTAATTGTAACAATTATTCAATTTTATGGCCTTACAGATAAGGGAAAACTTTGAATAATTTAAGTAATCTGGAAGTAAGTTCATTTTCTTTCCCTCTGGTTCTTGCTCATAGAACTCAACTTTGTAAGTTTCCAAAATCTTTCCATTGCCACAAACAAGATACTGTAGGGAAAGGAGATGGTGTAATCTTCATTGTTGCAGATGGATAAAAGGAAAATTGGATAGGTTAAGTGTGTACCTGCTCATGTTTCCATGATTGAGTGAGATTGATAGATTTGGGATTTGAGCATAGGCCTTGGGACACTGAATCTAATCTCTTTTTCCACTCTGTCTCTTGCAAGGTCTTATGACCTCATAGGAACATTTAAAGTTACGCTGTCCTAAAGTGGAAGCCAGAGAGTTTCCTGGGGCTTGGCCTCCTCATTCCTGCTCATCTGGACCCTCTTTGTACTTAGGATTGAGGTTTATATTGGGCTCAGTTCACCTACAGTCTCTTCAAAAACTTTTTCTTCATATTTGACCAGAAAGTCAATTATATAATGGAATATTGCTAAGCGAAAGAAGGTTCTTAACATAATATGGATCAGGAGCTGACATGGTCAGGATGCAGAGTGAGGCATAATGGTTGACCTTAGGCATGTTACTATTTCTTATAACCATCTGTTTTCTCATCTACAAATGAATATTATATTAGTAACTACCTACCTGTCAGATTGAACTAGAAATTTAATCATAGATTAATGCAGTTAGAATATTTTTCCTTCTTCTGTCAATTTTTTTTGACACACAAGAGTATCCAGTCCACTAAAACAAAGAAAAAAAAATCACTTTTATTTTTATTCCTGAATGTGCCAGCAGTGCCCTGCAAGCACTGATCTTTTAATTTAACTCTGTTTAGGGTTTGATGCCTACTTTACGTCCCGCACACTTGAAAACAACAGAAGAAATGTATGGTTTGCCGAATACTGGGAGGAAAACTTCAACTGCAAGTTGACGATTAGTGGGTCAAAAAAAGAAGACACAGATCGCAAATGCACAGGTAATTTAATTCTCATTGTCCTTCTCCTATTACTCTACTTGGCTAGCATGAAATGCCTGCATAGTTGACAGAAGGAAGCTTGGCTGGAGACAAATTGAAAAAGTAAATTAAATTTTACTAGATTATTCAGAAAATGGAACAGGAGCATACATCTTGCAGGACAAAAGAAGGACAGATAAGAATGTATTCTTTTCTGCCTGTCTGTCTAGCAGTAATTGACATATTCAGTGATTCTTTGAATTCAGAAGGGGTCATGTTGCTTTGAATGCTCTCATTCATAAATATTAGTTCACGTTCCAGCGAGGGGTATGAAGTCTTTGTCACATAGACAAAAATCTCTAACAAATCCCATGCCATTGCTGGATTTAACTGTTACCATGGACAGTGTACTTAATTAAAGAAACAGAGTGATTGGGTTTAGAATAATGAGAATTCCAAATAATTTTTGCAACGTCTAAGTAAATGAGTTACCTGCTATTTAAAATATTCACAGCTCCTTATATGTAACCTTTCAAGTGAAAATATTTGTGTTTAAGTTAGAAGAAAAATCACGTGCTCATTCGTTTATTCACTCACAAATATTTACTGGATGACTGACTCCTTTCTCCTATGTACTGTGCCAGGCACTGGTGGTCTGGTGGTGAGCAAAGTGAGAGCTCTGCTTCTATGTTGCTCAGAGTCTGGTGAAAGGAATTTGACTTTATTCCAGTGATATCCCAAACAAATTCATAATTATAAACTGCAGTCCATGTTATGAGTGTTATGAGGGTATATAACTAAGGAATTTTACTCATGTTGAAGGTAGAAGCTGTCTCAAAAGACCCTTTTGAGAGAATGATACCTGAGTCAAGAAAAAAATGAAGGAATAGGCATTGGCTTGTCAGGGAAGGAAAAGAAGTTAGATAATTCTGATTAAACATGGTAAATGGCTTGCAGTAGGAGGAATTTTTATGCTTCTGAGGATGTGAAAAACAGAAAAAAACATGACCGAAGTACACAGTTAGAGAGAATGTACTAGCCAAGGCTGCAGATGTAGAGAGATAGTCAGGAACTAAGTCGTTTTAGGATGTATGTAGGCTGTGGCTTTTATCCTAAGAGTAGTGGCAACCATGAAAGAGTGTTACACAGAGTATGGCGTGATCTACCTTCTTATCAACTAGACCTCTTTAAATAGCATTTAAGATTTGTAATGATGACTTATAGGTATAATAAGGTAACTGGGCTGAAATGTTTTATGTATGATCAAGAAAGATACATACATTCATGTGGGACATGCTTTCTGCCTCTGGTCCGTCTTTGCATTGTAGCTGTTTGAATACCCGTCACCCACACGTTGTAGATTAATCCACTCAACAAGCATCTATTAATCAGGTAATGCATGGTATTAGGAACACCATGAAATCTATGAGGATACTTAAATGTAGTCTCAATGAGGTTTCCAAGAAACAGGAGCAATACATAAGATATGACCAGAAACATGAATAAAAATAATGGTACAAAATCAATATGATACATATATTAAAGATATCATTCAGTTAACTGGAATGTCAAATTAACCATGTTTTCCAGATCATGCTGTATAGCAATAGTTCAGAGTTATGGTCCTTAGAATAGTGGAGGAAAAGGGAAAATATTAATTTAATGTTGAATAGACCTGGGTGACACAAAGCTTTCAAGTAGAAAACTGCAAAAATTAGTTTGACATCTGGATAATTTGTCTATATGACAGGAGTTACATTCACGTGTACCAGAAGTATGTAGATGATTGATGGCAGTTTTCCTGGGTTCTTTCTGACATTTCGTTTCCTGTAGAGTGTCTGGAAGGTGGAATCGATAGATGGATGTTAGAATTGTCCCAATCTGAGAACATACCCCTGACTTTTATGAGTTTTAACACAGGCTGTTTCATATGGAGCCATGTTTTAGGGTTGATCATTGAGAATTTGGGTTTATACAAACTAGTAAGGTCATTATGCAAACCTCTACCTTACAAAAATGGAAATGGAAGTGTTTGTGTCTTCCTAACTAACATGCTTCCTCCATGTGGATATTTATAATCATTCACTAAATTACCGTTGGCCCCAAATTATTTGTCTGTTCTCCCCTTTCTTCTTTCCTCCTCATTACCTTCTTGGTGATGAGCTCTGCCATACGGAATGGAGTTAGATACTGTTATCATCACTGTATCTCTTACTTTTCCACCTATTGGTATGGTGGTCATGTTTTGTTTTTCTTGTCCTTCCTTTTTCCAAATCCAACCATATGTATATCATTCTTTGATAGTGTTCCAAAAAATACTGTTTAAAAAATCATTGCATTTATGTATACTTCAATTTGGAAGTGAAGAATCAGAGGGACAGGTAACCTGGTTACGCGCTTTGGTAACTGGATTTTAAGACACCAGAACAGTCACGTTAGAAAAGGCAATCAGATGAGGAGGCTAGTAGTTTGGCACTGAAGATCTGCACCGTGAAGACAATGAATGTTTTGATCTGAGGACTGCAGAACATAGCTCCATTCACAGAGCTCTCTCTGGGACTTGGCTCTGCTAAAGAATAAGGAAGTCTTACTAATACAACATTCATTCTTAAGATGTGAACACAACTTAAAATGTAAACCTTTTTTTTTTCTTTTGGGCTGGGTAGCCTCCTTAGCCATACCAAACTACAATTGTTATATATTAGCTATAAGTAGACCAGCACTGAATCAGCCATTTGACAAATTTTAAAGATGAGAAATGTGACACATACTATTTGGAGAGAGTAAATTCCTGAGGTCAGAGTATAACAATGAGTTCTAAAATCACAAGAAAATGCAAAGTCATGAGAGGAATAATAATTATTGAAAAATATTCATTAAAAATATGAGATAAGCTGTTCATACATCATAATTTTACTTGGGGCTAGATGCGAATGAATTATTATAGAAAAGGACCTGGAAAACTATGTAATCTTTATTTCTATAAAGTATCCATGTTCGCACTTAAAGTTTCCTCCAAGCAAGGGATTTTATCACATTCTTTAGTATTTCAAGAACATCCCCAATTTCCTTGATACTGAATCCCAGAGTGTGCCAGCCCGAGAGCTAGACATTCTTCCTCTTACCTTCCTTCTGAGTAGCCTAATAACCGCTGATGTAGATCGAGCATTGGCAGTGAGCCATCCTACTCATGGGATATGTTGGCTGTCATCACAGTGTGAAATGCAGTTCAGCAAGTATATGGTTGTCCAAGCTGTCACAGAAAACACGACCTCCATTTGACAGTCACTAATACCATTCATGCTACTTTGTGGAAGAGCTACATTTTCTCATGGAGACAGTGCTAGCTATACACACAGTCATCTCTTCTAGAGAGTTTGCCACATACCATTTGTCATTTGCAAGCAGAAATATTAGATGTGATTTTTTTTTCTGGGTTGTATTTATGTTCCCCTACCCACAGCCCACCAGCTAAGTGTGTCCACCCTTGAGACTTGCCAGGGTGCTGCTGGCACAAAGATCAGTTTAGAGTATGACCTCTTTGAGAATAACATGTTTCTATGGAGATACTAATGGTCAAGGAAAGCAGGAACATTACACAAATGAAGTGACATTTCTGAAAAAAGAGATTGAGGCCACCTTGGAGTAAGAAAAATCATTATACCACAGTGGTTAAGAAACCATAGGTTTTGTAATAGAAAAGACCTCGCTTCTGTTCTAAGGACATCCATGACCTCTCATGCCTGTGAGTGCTTGGATAACGTCTCTTTTTTTAACCTCTCAAAGCCATTTTTTAATCTTTGAAATGAGAATAGCAAACTTTACATTCGAAATTGTTGAGTGGATTAAATAATTTATATAAAGGGTCTGAAATTTTTTTAGCACACAGTAATAGCTAACAATGGAAATTGCTTTCTGCTGTTCTGAGCTGAATTCAGTGGCCTGTGAGGAATTCATGAAGATCCTCTCATCTGTCACTCCGTAGAGATCAGGATGTTTATCAACTCCAATAAGAAAACAAATACATACGTATAGACAAGAATGTTTACTGGGGTGCACATTATAGGGTGAGGTATTGAGTATCAAAAAGTTTGCAGATAGGCATCATACAATGTTATGCTATGAGTGAAACATGAAGCTCAAGGCTTAAGGAATTTTAGTGCTGTAACACAGAGTGGGTGCCCAAGGTTCAATGACACTAGGACACAAACTCTGCATTATAGAAAGTGTTATATTCCAAAGTTTCCTCATTTTCTTCTGATGAGCTGTATCCTTACATAGATAATGGCATTTATAAGATTTTAACACTCAACCTATCTTATCGCAAAGTTTACTCATTTTCTGAGAAGATTTATCCTTACACAGCTAATAGCATAGAATATCTTAGCTCCCAAATGCATTCTTTAAGCTCAGAAGAAGCTTCTGAGAACATGAATATGTTTGCCTCTGACTGGGCAACATCTTATGACGTATCAATCATAACTCATGACTGAGCCAGAACATTTGTCTAACTAATATCATTGTTGTCTGAAATGCCACTTGAATACTGATTTATTAGAGTTACCTCCTTGCTGAAAAGTAGGAACTCACCATTTACAAACCCATCATCTAATGATGGGACAATTTAACGTTCAGAGATTTGTTTTCCTTTTGAGATGACAGAAGGTGAATGAAATGGTGACTTTTTTTGTAACAATCCTTCATGTTTCATTGCTAGGGCTTTCAAGCCACACAAGAAGCAAATTCAGTTTTGATTTGTGTCCGTAATCAACCCCTGTTTACTGTTGAAAGATACCAAGGGCTAAAGAGTGTACTCTGATAAATGTCTACAGTTTGGAAGTGCAGTATTCTTAAGCTGTGTTTTTCTTTACACCTCACTTCTCGGAGCTAATAGTTTAAGTTCTCGTTTTCAGTGGAGCTAAAAACAAGCCTGTTGATAAACACTGTTAATGAATAAGCCATGTATTTCTTATCATTTCTTTTCACCAGGACCCAGGCTCATTAGAGCCTATATAATTCGT